AAATTTTATTAAGCAATTTACCATGCGACTTACTGACATAACTAAGACAGCCTATAGAAAGAGCAAAGAACTTTTAGACTTCGATCGTGGAGTTAATTGCGGCTTGGCAAAGCGTGCCAAATAAACTGGTACCCAAATCGGCAAAGAATTGGGCATTCCTAGAGCAACCGTTGTTACCATCGTAAAAAAGTATTGAACTGAAGGGATCACGAACTGTCCAACTTCGTTCAGAAAGACCAGAAAAGTTGACACCAAGAGCTGAGCATCACTTGCACTTGTAGGTTAAAGGGACTCCTTTAAACCTTTGAGTCTTCATTTGCAAAATCTTGCGAAGGCTGCCGATCCCATCAGCCTGACGACATTGAGGAATGCACTTCGCAAAACCGTTTTTCAAGTCTAAGAAATAAAGAAACGCGAAGAGAATGGGTCAATGACAGCATGAATTGAACATTAGATGACTGGAAGAAGGTAATCTGGTACGATGAAGCGCGTTTTGCACTCAGGCGTAACGACAGTAGTATGAAAGTTTTTAGAAAGGAGAGAGAAAGGTATTTAGATGGATTGTTTTTTACCAACATTCACATTTGGCAAGGGATCAGTTATGGTATTGGGATGTTTTTGGGCAGGTGGATTGGGCCTTTTGATGACACTTAAAGGGTCTGTCGACCAAGAGAAACATGTCAATTGTTGAGGTCAAAATTATGTCTCTTGGCTTGAAACATTGATAGAGGAACATGATCATGATTGTATTTTTCGAGAATACGGTGCCCCATGCCAAAAAGGAAGGATATACGAGGTGGTGGAAAGAGAAGACTGGGATTGCAGACTTTGGGCGATAACCCGCTCAAAGTCCGGATTTGAATTCTATTGAGAACATTTGGCACCTCCTGGGACAGAGGATTGCTAAAAGAAGAGCCAAGGTTCAGAATCTTAATTAATTAAAAATTGCACTTCATCAGGAATTGAAGTTGTTGGGGAATGACGTGTGTCATAAGCTTGTAAACACTATGGCGGACATACTAGCAACTTTGAATCAAATGGAAACATAACTGTCATTTTTTTATTTTCTCGATATCCCCAGCCAATAAGATTAGAGCAAAAGATTGCTACAAATGATCATAATATCATAAAAAAACAAAAATGCTTCAAACATATTTCTAGAATCGTCCATACGTAGTTTAGATGTTATAAAAACTATCTCGAAGTTAAAATTAGATTGCTATATGCCAAAAATTTGATGCAATATTGATCCGAATTTGATGGCTTACCGTATAAAAAATAATTTTTTGCGTGAAGCAAATGGTGACAAACTGCCATTTTTTATTATTTTAAAAACCAGATTTTTTTTTTTTCGGTTCTGTGATTCTTTTATTATGATTTTACCACAAGAAAATATGACCTTATTTTATTCGACATGTGTTCCATGAAAAAAAAGAAAAGTAATGAAACGAATGGCAATTACAAAAACTTACAAAATGGAAAGGTTTCCTTTATTTGCTTGAAGATTATCGTTGAATACATAGTAGGGGGCAATGACGTAAAACTGGTTTCCATCGGGAGGAAACTCAATTAAACCAACTTGATGTTCAATGTCTGCCACATTGATGACCGCGAATGTTGCTTGAGCTGAGCCTGAACGAGCCTTGACAATTGGAACAGACTTGTCGTGTGGAGCCACGTCGTGGTGTTTCAAGACGTCGACTAGCGCCAAAAACTGTGGGATATTATTCAAGTCAACATGCTTAAAAAAAAACTGAACAGCACCTACAAGCCAACAACGACGGGAAACATGGAAATGACTAAGGTAAAAATGGAAAAATAAAGATGCGTGAGAAGTTAACTCAATAAAAACAGGAATCGACTTACTTTTTATAGCTGGTGGAGGACATCACGTAATAATTTCCCCGACTTATCTCATTCCTTCGTCTTTGGTATATAATGTAGGAGTAAACATTGTTGTTTATCCAAGCACGAGAAGCAATGGCAATTTCAGAATCACCGAAAGAAGTAGCAGTATTAAGACCACTAGATCTTCGGTAATATCTAGATAAGGCATCCTTTATTCGGCTACATCTGATACCTTCCATCATCTGACCATCCAGAAAAGCGTTACCACCAAACGGCGCCCAACGCTGCACATCATCCAGGTTATCAGGGAGATCCATGAAATCGATGTCACATGGTCCGGCTGGTACGATCAAATCAATTTCCTTCGTAATTTGGAGAATGCCGTTGATGAAATTACAAATTGCAAGCCTTTCGATGAGCATACTTGCATTTCTACCGCCGAATCTTCTTGATTTAATCAGCTTGAAGTATACACAAATCACTCTCTCCATTGATATTGCAGAGTAACACCTCAAGCGACCTTGTTGCTTCATGATGTATGGAACGTGAATCAAGTAATGTTGGACAGGACGAAACATGCTCCGAGAGATGTTCCTCAGATTGACTTGCACCAGAAGATAGGTGTGCCAAGTCGCAAAGAAGCTGTCAAAGTAATATATTTCTGTTAAAAGACTGAATTCCCAATACTTTAGTATACCGACTTACCCCTCCATTTCACTGATAAGATCGGGTGTAAGATCCAACTGCAATGCAAGAGCACAACCTTTGATCAAGCCTAGGACGTTATTTTTGGCAGACCTGTTAGGCAGGTAGGGCACAACCAATGTGGGAATAATGTACAAAAGGACGTCCAATCAATCCACCGCACGTGTACCACCAATCGTTTCTAAAACATTGTCGAAGCTACCCTGGAAAGAAACGGGGACATGCTTTCTCGATGAAGTGATACAATCCCCAATAACATCCAAATTCTTTCTTGAGATGTAGATGTAGAAAGGATAGTTGGCGATTGAGACGGTTCTATCTCGCTTTGTATAGTAGTACTTTTGATCTTTGGAAATTTCTACTGTGATCAGATCGTATAAATGTTTGCCGATACCTCTGGCTATAAGATGGAGCTCATTCAACGCAAAAAATAAGGAACCGGAAAATGTCGATAGCTCATTGAAAACACTAGGTTGGTAAATTTTTTTGATCTATGTATAGTAGGTACACTTTGTTACTCTCGAGAAAACAAAAGGTGAAGTCAATATACTTACAGGATTTCCAGTCATGTAGTCTCGCAATGATCTCAATGGGGCAGAGCTTTCGTCAAAATCCTTTCCATGAGACGTATTGTCTGGATTTCTCCCTTTCGATTCACAAAACCTACAACCGTATGTACTGGTATGAGAACCGATGTGAGCCATATCCGCCACAGCTGGAATATCACCAGAGGCTAGCAACAAACGTACTTTGGAGCGACAGATTTCCATATCAGCACGTTTAACAACAAGCCCATGGGTTTCCAAATCCTTTAACTCGTCGATGATGGGTCATGAATGAATCCAGATGCGTAGGTTTTTTAGGACCAGGTAAAATTGCTAGCTGTAACATATTCTCGGTTGTGTATCTAATGTCTAATGTTTAGAAAGTTGCAACTTTTAAAACCAGTATAAGTCTTTACCTGGTGGAAGGATCAAGGTTGAATATGACAACGTGGATGATTGTAAAAGAAATTTTGCCCTTCTTTTGGTTTACAAACCCATCCGTGTAAAGACCAATGGCGAAATCGTCAGGATTGGAGAACAATCTCTTTTTTACCAGATCCCTGTAAATTTGCCCATCGAAAATATCACTCATTTGCATGTTACTTGATTCCCTGTCGGCTCTATAATCTAGAAGGTCTCTAGTGTGAGGATCAGCCACCATATTGGAAAGAACATCACCGATAGACATCAATTTCATACTGGCGTTGGGACCTTGATCAATTCAGTGCTAGTCCTATATCGCTTTTCATCACAGTCGATACATTGGTCTTCTTCATCATCCAATCCATAGAATCTACAGCCGTTGGGACATAAATCATATTCGTGGCCATGAACACTGGATTTAGCTTTGACTAAATCATCAACAACCTCACCATAGGTAATTTTGGCTCCGGGTTCTGAATGAATTACCAATGTGACGTTAGAAAATTTAATGTATCAAGGCCATACGATTATTTTTATTACTCATCATTATCTCATCGTGGTTCCAAATAGCCGTATTAACACATCTTACAATATCCCTGTAAGCAGCTCTGGATATCTTGTATTGCAGCATCAATTGGGAAAGATGAATGCTCATTAATCCAGCTTTTGTGAATGTGTTGGAGCCGATTCTACTGGCTTGATAAACGTGAGCCCTGCCTTCATTTTATTTAAAGCTTCATCCGCAATTATAATTGATTTGGTCAGCAACATCCATGCCAACGGGGGTAGAGACTAAAATTATCTTGTAAGTTATTTTTAAAATAAGGAGATAAGGTCATTATTTGTACCGTAATCACTGACGTCTCCATTATCAGCAGAATTATAATTGCTTTCTTGCATATTGGTATCTTCAGATGCTGTTGTTCGTATATGAACTCTCTTATGGTTTTGGAGTTGACGGTAACTGTTAAAGATCATCGAATGGCTGTCTCATTCAAAAGCTTCACGAGGAAGTCTATCTCTTTGTCTGTTGGCATTTGACGACGAAGAGGGCGGGAATGACATTTGAAAATTTTGATATTTGTGGAAGTGTGATTTATATTTGGTAAATGTAACCGGTGTAAGTAATGTCTATATGTAAGGTGCTTTTTATATACTCAGTAACTTAAGTTTAAAATCGCCTTTTTAATTTTTACCTTTCATAGTGACATACGTCAATGATGAAAGTTTCCTGGAAGATGTCGACAGGTACGATATATTATTAGCTATGGTCTTTGACCTTAAGTATTATTTTCGTCGATTTTGTTTCCGTCATTTGAATTTTAAAACGCCATGACATGACATGCCGTCGAAAAAAAAAAAAAAAAAAAAAAAAACAGAAAATGACATAATTTAGATAAGCAGACAAGACTCGAAGTAACTAAAGGTGGGATAAAATATATTACATATACTAGCATATCTTAAAACAAACATTTCCAAATGTCTGACATGAATATTGCAGTCACCAATTTGGTTCGCAAAATTGAACTTGACGTTACCGAGATCAAACAAATACTAGCTGCGGTGTCTGATCAGTTCAAAAATCAATTTTTACCAAACATCACCGATGAAGATGTAAATATGATACAAAAAAGTATCGTCAAACAAAGTGGTAAAGCACATCCTTCCCAGATTCTGATAATCTTGACTGAATCAGTTTTTATTGTATATTTTCTTTACGTCTTTATATTATAACCATTTTCCATAGATAATGGTTCTCATCAATAGACGGTTCTATCTTTACAGTTAAATAGTCTTTAAAAAGTTATGTTTTATTCTTATTGATATCATACTGCTTACATATAAACTATTTATTCTGTGTATCTTTCACTCAAACGACAACATTTTAGGAACACTACCAGTCAAATATTTATCGACATCAGATCTTAAGGCTGGTAATAAAATGCAGAATTAATTATAATATTACTATTTTCTAACAATACCTTTATAGACTGTTAAGAGTGTCAAAGGTAAGCTAAAGTAACGTCCAAGCATTATAATGGTATATCTTATTGACATGTATACAACCACAAACCTAAATAAAAAGGTTAAAGTTATATCAAAACCTCCTATACACCACGGAAATATAAATAAACAATCCAATAATATGTGCTTTACTGCCAATAATAACAATGAATAAGAAAATGTGAGCCTGCCAAATATAAAAGAATAGGTCTAAAAGAAAGGTTAAGGGTTTGTCCTTTCAAAAAACAATGGCAACTGCGAACGTTTTGTTATTATAGATCATCATAACTGCCACTTTTACAAGCCAGGAAAATGGAAGCTGTGAATGATTTGTCTTCAACAAACTAAAATAGATGCCATTTTTTGAAATAAAAGAACAGCAGCTGTGAAACTCTTGGCTTGATTCAACTGTTAAGGGGGCCATTTTTACCGGCCAAAAATATGGCAGCTGTGCCTGTTTTGTTATTATAGAATATCATATCTGCCACTTTTGCACGCCAAAAAAATGGCGGTTTTGTGAAGTAAATGTCCAATAGTTGCCATTATTTCGGCCATAGCGAAAACGTATGCCCGATAGATGTCGGGCAGTAAAAAGAGCATGTAGCTCAAATACCACTTAAAAACGCAATTAAATGATTTTTTTCTTTGCAAAATACATCTATATATTGCTGCTTCTATTGAGTTTCGTAGAGTTTGAGATACCTTTTATTCATAAGTTTTTGGTCTTGAAAAATGCATGGTTGTACTTTCAGCGAGGAGTTGTAGACGTGGGAAGATTTATCCTGCTGATAGGAGGTGAATTCTAGAATCTTCATTTGCCTACAGGTGCAGGTAATAATTATGAAAGAGTAAAAAAAAAAAAAAAAAAAAAAAAAAAAAAAAAAAAAAAAAAAAGTTGGTCATCTGATGGACAACAGCTATACGCGTTTTTTTGTCTTCCAATTCGACATGAAGCTAATCTCTATTTTTCATCTCGTGGTTAGAATAAAGAGAAAAGTAAAGCAGTAGGAGATGACGCATCTGGTTATGGCATTTGGTTTGCAAACTCATGATGGTTTTTAAGGGCATCTCAAAAACACCTAACAATGTGTTCAACCCTGGTCCTTCTCCATTATTCTTTTCCCTTTCAACATGATAAATTCAATTATAAGACGTTATTTAAGTATTTTTTATATAAAAAGATTTTTTATTTATTTAAAGTTGTTTGTCGTGAAGCTTTTAAAGATAGCCGCAAACTGTGAAATCACGACTATCCGCTAGACTTCACTTTTAATATAAATGCATATGCAAATTACTTTCGTGGGGTAATCGAAAAAGCAACTGTAGGTAGCATTATTTTAGACCTACGTAAAGAAAAAAAAAGACCAAGTGAGTGCCAAACATAATATGAATATCGGGTATACCTGAGAAAGAAGAGGGTGGTTTCTAAAAACTGCGCAAGAAAAAAAAAGACCAAGTGAGTGCCAAACATAATATGAATATTGGGTATACCTGAGAAAGAAGAGGGGGTTTCTAAAAACTGTGCAGGGAAATTAAGTATTTATAGCTCAGAATCGGAATAGCGGGAACCAATGAAATCGCTAAATCCATTTCCTATTTTATATTCCCTAAAATGTGGCTTAGCTACGGACGTACAGTCTAATGTCCGTGATAAGAGAATACCAATGCGTATGAAAGGGATGATCCTACTATAAATACCAAACATGGCACCAAAAATCTTGATTTAGGGAAAATGCGTTTTTCAAAAATTCCAGATGAATGACTGGCATGCCTTGTAAAAGGAAATGCGAAAGGTTTACTGCAGCAATATGTGAAGAAGAGTTTTAATATAATATCAATTTGGCTTCATCTGCTCATGGTCTTAATTGACATAATAGAAATGAATTCAGGTGTCGTATTTGGGTACGATGCACTTAAGAATAATTAAGCAAATCGTTTAAATAAATAAACTATGAAATTAAAACAACCTTTGATGTTGCATACCAGCATACGCTTGTATACTGCTATACAACTTCTCCTACTACGAGTACATACTTCTATATTAAAGATTGCGTGATTAGTTTAAATAAGATATAAGAATGACAGTTGGATACAGAATGTTATACCACGATATCACCGATTGAGAAGAGAATCTTCTCAGATCAAATCAAGAATTATAAGAAAGAGAAATTTAATATTTAAAGCTCTCTCAATGGATTAGCTACCAAGAGAGAGAATACAACAGCTATTAATATAAATGGTTCATTTACTTATATATTATTATAATTACACTGCTAATAAAGAGTATAAAGAAATAGTGTATGAATTAATGGATACCTATCTTCTACAATCAAATATACAAATATCGATAAGACATTTTATATTTGGGATAGTATTTTAAGTGCCTCGTAATACTAAAGATTTATTAGAATACTCATGCTCCCGATCCACTGATATGGGACAACGTTAACTGGAAAAAATTCTAACGAGTAGTATCCATTTAATTCAAGGCGGGAAACAAAGTATAGATTAGTGTTCGGAATGAAGATCGAAACTCTCGAGCGAGCTTCGATCGTGTTCCAGTCGAAGCTCGCTCAAATGGGTTTTTTTGAAGCTCAAGCTCGCTCAAAATTTCTTAAGCTCGGCTCGGTTGCAAATACGAGTACTTGAACTCGCTCGCCTCTTTATTACACAAAGTGCACGTGAAAGTGACGTTAATTACGTACAGTTATTGTAATAAATCGGTAGTATGATTTTATAAAATAAAAAATAAAATAAAAAATAAAACAAAGTACATAAGTACGTTTAGAATTCCTTTATAGAGTGCATCTTCATTGTAATATACCAAAACGTAATCTGTGACATTTTTGAGCATTCATCTCCGACTAGTACAAGTAATATAAAAGGAAATTTATTTATAGCCAGATTTTTTTAATGTGGGGAGAATTTTTTTTTTTTTTAAGAAAATTTTTCAGGGAAATATATTTTATTTGGGGGGAGTCTAAATTGTTTTTTTTTTTTTTTTTTTTTTTTTTTTTTAGATTGAAAGTCATCAAGGAGCAACTAAACAGCACGTCTGTGGGATCGATATTCTTTGGAAAACTTACTGATAATATCTTCAGCTTCCAAGACATCGTTACCCTCGCTGTAAGCGTCAATATATCTATAGGCACGATTATAATATCGTCTATTGATTTTAGGACCGAAAACAGCCTCATCATGGTCAAGAAACTCTTCGATTCTTGACTTCAGAGTGTCAAACGAGTAATCACATTCTATTCGTGCAAATCGTTTAGCTGCACCCCAATGTCTTTCAATCCAATTGCACTCACAATGGTACTTAGGGTATAGGGTAAAAAGGTGACCAGCCTTGGATGTTTGGGTCTCCAGCATATTCTTCTGGGCCTTGAAATCAGGTTGTTGTGACAACAAGTATTCGGCACAACAGCCAGGTTTAGCCTGAGGGTCGTGTGGAGTACCTCTCACACAAACCCTTCTCAGAGGCTCATTTCTGCCGAGCAGGCCACGTTCTCTCAACAGACGGAGAGTTCCCTTGAACTTCTCACGTTTCTACAGAGATAATGATAATAAAGATGTCAGTTCTTTATATATTAATGTTATATTATTAAATTTACTTGTGCGTGTTGGTACTTTTCGACAAGTGCATTGGTATCAAACGCCTGTCCTTTGGCACGCCGTCTGTTTATCTCCTTCATGGCGGCATCCACGTTCATAGATTCCATGGTATACATACTTTGAGGCTTGATGATGCCGTTTCTATCTACATAAGTGGTATCCCGAAACCTATACAGGGTAGAAGACTTTACTTCGCTAGTCCCGGAAGTCATCCTCGAGGCAACAAGAGCATCGTCCGCAAAGGCTTTATGGTTCGAGCTCTGGTCAAAGGCAAAGATACCAACACAATTAGGATGCAATTCATTGAAAAGATGAATTACATCATATAATTGACACGTCAGATCTCTGTTTGTCCAATAACCATCGCCGTTACTGTTGCCAGGGAAGAAGATGACTCTTGATATCAAATTGACACCATTGACGGTACCTCTCATTGTTCCGTGGCAGGGACACATGAATGAACTGATCATAATAGATCTTCCTTGACCTTTAGGAAGAATCATGGTTTCGTTCTTCTCACACCAACGAGTGACTTTACAATCATTTGAATAAAAGATTGATTCGTCGTGAGTAACTAAAACCATCTTTTTTTCATTATCCTTTAGGCTAGGTTGAACTGGATCAGCATTCTCATTATCCAAGGGATAGGTTTCCATACGCTTATGCCATTCCATCATTTGTTGGGCCCACTTAATTCGATATCTGACAACATCATCCCGCTCATGGCCATCAAAGTATGTTCGATCCTTTCCTACACACATATGCCCAAAAATATAATCAAGCTAAAGCATTAGTATATATGCTAAGTTTTTACATATTGTATTTACCTGTTTTATAGTCAAAACCCCAAGCCTTCAGGTAGGTTGCCAGAGCAACGTTCGACAATGGATGCTCTGGCTGAGAGGAAATGACATCGGCACCGGCCTCGACATCATTCTCCAACTCAAGTAACTCAGGGAGCACTTCTTGTCGTATATGCTGACGAAGAGCAGGGATACTTCTACGGACAGGGTCTTGACTCCTGAGCCAGGTGATGCATCTTTCCTTCACATCAGGATCACTGAGAATTGATTTTCTCTTCGCATGTTTTCCTTGCTGATGACATGGAATGTCACCAGTGTTTAGCCAGGCTTCAAACCACTTTCTGG